CAAAGAATATTGTTACATTTATTCCTAAGGGCATAAACGCTAACAATATATTACAATCATGTCTAATTGATTACTTTGTTAGAATGCCCTATTGTTTTTGTCTAAAAACATCATGATGCATAATTTATACACTTTCCCCAATAAATTATGTTGGAATATTTTTATGTGGACTTTCATAATCATAATAATTCACTCTGTAATTGATTAAAATATTTTATGAACAACTATGTTAATGTGAATTAACAGATGCATGTATGTATAATATCGGTTCATAATGGGATGAACAACTTAATTTATAATGTGCTTGAGGTCCTTGGACTCACTCTCTCTAAATATTTGGTCAGCCTATTGGGCAAAATTTCCTTTCTATCCACGTTTTTAGTTAAGGCCCATTTTTGCCCTAGATTGCAGTAAAAAAAGCCAAAGGGGCAAAAATTTGGCTCCCTTGCCGTGTATGGGTGTGTGCCCGTGGAAGTTGAGAGAGGCAGAGGAGAGAAGCGTTCAAAACCCTCCAAGCCCCTTTGATTTTATCAGATCATTGAAGCTTCAACTCTAGTCGATCAAGAACGGATTCCGGCCACCATAAACGATGTTATTCCGTTGCCGGCAAGGAGGTAAACCTAAAACCATCAATTTTCTATATGCTTCAAAATCCAATTTGATAATGTATATTGGATTTGATTATTGTTTGATCTCATTTATGAGTATTAAGAGTCCATTATTTCCAACAAATTATTGTGTCGATTTAACTTTTAAAAGAGGATACACACACTAATGAAAAAAAGAATCAGAAAATGAGACTTACTTTTATAAATAATCCTGTATATTATTAAGGAGGAAAAGATTTGGTTAAGTACTTAGATACATTATTTAGCTATGATTTAAAGTAATAGTTTTCAATTGTATTCAATTCTATAGGGAGGTTATTTATAGATTTGATATAAATAGATATGTATAATTGTAAACAATAAAATATTGAGGTCTGCTAGACCTTAACTATATTCGTCAAGAGAAATGCTAGCGGCATTCTTTCTGTCACATTCTTTGTCACTTTCTGTATTTACTGTGACACGTGGATTCTATTATCTAATTTTTAATTTAAATAATAATACAACATGTCAATGGAGTTCACGTATTAAAAAATGACTGTAAAAGGTGACAAAAAAGTGCCAAAACAGTGACACTACCATTTCTTTTTCGTCACTAAACGAAGTACACATGCTATTTTTTCATTATACCTTACAAATATTTCTCGCTACTCATAAAAAAGAAATCACAAATGACACTTATTATCTTTTTTATTTTTTTAAGAAAAAATGGAGTTTTTTTTTATAAGTTCTAAGAAAATAAAGTTTTAAAAAAGTACATATTTTTCGCCGTCAAATCTATATATACAAAAATTATGTATTTTGCATATACTTTTATATCCGATGTAATTTTAATCAGATCTAACAATCAGAAACTAACCTTACCAATAAAGAGACTCTATTAAAAACACTCATAAAATAATAATAATAATAATAATAGTAATAATAATAATAAACGCGATCGTCTCGGTGATTTCATGTTTTTGCACGCCATTATGGCAAAAACTAAAATGAAGTGATAAAACACCATTAAATATATATTTTGTTTATAGGAAATATCCTAATGATATATAACCTAATTAAGTGTAAGAATATTGGTCGTAGGAATTTCAGTAGGATCAGCAGCCTCATCCTCGTTTGTTAATTCCAAACTCGCCATATTCCCAAGCCTGAGCAAACTCTCAGCCGCCAAAATCGCCTTTGCATTTGTATCATGCACGGCTCGCACGTGCAAACTCCTACACGCGTCCTTGGCCGCATCAAAAACCTCCTTGTCATTAGCCCAACGCGCCATAACGCAGTGCCCCAAAATCCTCAGAATCGGCTGCAGCAGCTCCCATGGTAGAGGAATACGCCTCCCAGCCACGCCATCTTCACTATCGTTGACTTCTCCGACTCTGCTCGGATCGGACTGTTTATTTCGATCATCATCACGATCACCAGCCCAAACCCGGCAAAACTCGCAGAAATCAATCTTGGAACTCTTGGGCATCTCGTGGATCTTGCCAAAGTAAAGCTCCAATGCCACCCCCACGATCCTCGCCCGGCGCGTGGACCTCACCGCGCCATGGGGCTCCAGCGTCGGTGAGACGATGCTTAGATTGAGAGCCGTCGAGTTGTTCTTTGCTGGTGACGTCGACTCGTGGTAGAGGCTTGGGTGGGACATGTCTGGGACGTTGACTGTGACAGGCTGGCCGGCGCGTGAAGTAGTCTCGTGAGAGTAGAGGGCTAGGAGGATGGCCTCGAAGCCGGCTAGGGGGCGCCAGAGGGTGGCGAGTGAGAGGTACGCGCCGGCGAGGAGGGGGATGTAACGGAGGACGACGAGGTGGAGGCCGGGGTCGCCAGACTGGAAGGCGTCATAAAGCCAGCGGCAGAGGTTGTCGTCGCCGGTGCCGGCGGAGGGGCGGCGGAGAAGGGCGGAGATGTGGGTGGAAATCTCGGGGTCGTGGAGGAGGGAAAGGGAGGGGTTTGAGGAAGAGGAGAGGGAGGAAGGGATTGAGGGGAGGATGGTGGAGAGATATCTTATTGCTTCATCGGTTTTGGAGAAGGAATTTGACGGCGGAGCACTTTCCCCGGCGGCCACCGTAATTTCAAAGGTGGCGGTGTTGTTGGACATTGGATTTCTTTTCTTTTTTTCCTCTTTACAAGAAGATTATAATATAAGAGCGTGAGAAAAGAAATACGTGATGAAGCAAATTAAATATTAGGCAAAGGTTAATGATGATGGTTATTAGTGGAGGCTAATTAGGAGGGAAAATAGGATCTTTGATTTCTTGCCTATTGACAAGTTTGTTTCATCTTTTGTTTCAAGGCTGTAAGTGTTAGGTAACGTTTGATTTATATATTTAAAATTATAGTTTATGATTTTAATTTTTAAAATTTAAATTTTTTATTAGAGAAAAAAATTATAACAGAATTAAAAATTATAATCTTAAATCAGACATAATTTTTAAAATAAACGTCACTTTACTAATTCTTTGCATTCTCACCGAGTTAGTAGTACTGTAATATATTTGATTAGCAAAAAAACATAGTAACATATTTTTTCTATAGAAAAAAGCAGTAACAAATTTATCAAAAGAAAATAGTAACTGTTGTTATTGAAAATAATTGCTGCTTCTCTTGATTCTAATCCACAAACTTTAATTGAAGCTCCTCAACAATAGAGAAAAGAAGACGCTCAATAAGGAAAATTTTTACGCTCATGTCCAAAAATCACTGAAGAAAGTAAGTAGCACAATAATTTTTAGTTCAAAAATCAAGAGAGAATATATATGTTTTCCTTCGCAGTCACCCTTATTTGGGGCTTGGGAGTGTACAAAAATTGTGAGTTAAATCTAATCTTATTCATAACTGCCTGACTTTCAGTCCCAAATTAAATTTGAGCATGAACTAAAACAATTGGTATGCCTATTTTTCCAAGTAATAAGAAACAGAGCAACGACGTAACTTTTGAGAATAAGAATAATAATTTATC